AGACTGTTCGGAAAATAATGGCACTGATAGCAATCAGGAAGGTACCAAAGAGAAAAAAGGAAGAGAGTACCCCCCCCCTCCCCCAAACACCCCCCACACCTCAACGATGTGACTGACTGCTCATAGAATGTCTTCTTTGTAATTTAGGGGTCAATGATTATGTCTGAGGGTAAGTCTGTTAGATAGCATATGAGTGATTCTGTACTGATATTATTTATGTGCATCAACGCATGAGAAGGGAAAAGGAGGGGCATGCCCTAGATCTACATATAAAATGGATTTTATCCAAAAGATGTTTGAGCCTGTCAGCAAGGGCTCTTTGAAGCCTCTAAGAAAATAGTTTGAGAAAGATGTATTTTATCTGGCTTTGACATTCCTTACTCAGGATGTTTACTTAAATGTAACAGAATCTTTTCATTAGATGACTAACGTACGGTCAGCATTTTTTTGCACAGTAATCTGAAAAATGATACAAATTAAGACTTAACCTGAAGCATGTAATCATTTGATTGGACTAGTTCATTGTTGGAATACACTGTAGATCTTTTCAGTCTGTTAGTGTTTGAGTGGTTGATGGGGTGCTTGCACTGTATGCTCCCCATGAAGTTGAGATCACCGAAAATGTTTCTGAGTATTCTAGGGTCTGTTGGGGTAATGATATAGATCGCATAGGGCAAAGAAGTTTCTGTCGAGCGAGGATATGTGCTTTACAAATCAGTTGAGTACAGGCTATACGAACACAGGAAACTTGAAATCACAGATAGCTCGTACAAACTGGCATTCCCCGACTTAGATCTCTAATTTTTCATTGTCGAGTAACCAGAATTATGGAAGTGTCAAACACATAATTTGTCGATGCCCAATATGTTTGAGTCATCCTTGCCTGACTGTGCTAATTTTTATTATCATATGATGAGTTAACTTGTCTGCAGATGGAGATGATGTAAGTGCTGATGGCAGTGACTGACTGCTGATCAGATCAGGGTTACCATCTGGTTGTCCTGTAGGCCCTAGTTTCTTGTTAGACAATTTGTGATTTGTAAAGTGGTTGAGGGGAGGGTTAGATGCCTTCATTGCTAGTCAGTGGCTTTC